GAGCCATACTGCATTGGGAGGAGATATCTTGCGCAGCTTAAGGGTCGTAGTTAATCTGAACAACGAACAGCTTGTTACCAAATTGGCACGATCCCGATGTAGCGCTCAAAAGGGAAGAAGTTATCAGTCCTAAGTACAGAAGCGGCACACACGAATGTGTCACCGTCATTTCAGCCAATGGTGCAACGATACTCCCATCTCTTCAAAAGTGATGATGACCCGTGTGGGTCGAACACGAAATTGAAGACGGTTTACAGCGATCAGTTCTCATAGGGAATGATTATCAGCACTCAACACACGACTTCAAGCATCGTCACGATGTTCTCACCAGGCACGAGCATTGCTTCAAAGATATCGGTGGTCAAATGCAGAAATTTAGTTAGCGCAATCTGCTCGGAGAGGCCAAATTTGATCTTTCCTTTTGGGTGAGTCAAACGTCATACCGGTGTTGCAGTTTAGCAGGAGCTGCTCTACCTTTTTAATTCTGATATCTTCATTGGAGGAAACTCGTATTCGGTTGAAGTCATCGTCATCATCGTCCCTTGATTGAAATGCCTTATTTCGAGATAAACTGAAGCCTAATTCAAAATAACCAGACACACCGAACTATCCACAGTTCTCCCCAACCTCATTTTGCTGGTGGAATCTGTCACTAAAGTGTAGCCGGCGGTTCTCATAATATGACCGTATAGATGTAGCAACACCGATTATTAAAATCAAAATGAGCACTCTGGAAACTGCATTTTGAAACAGGTTCCTGTCTTTAAACACTGGAATTTTTCGTACAATAACGCGATAACTGCACAGTGTGTTTCATATCTCGTTGGCTGAATTTACACGCTTGCTTGCTTGCTCACATGGTCTGACAAAATTATTTTATTTCATTTCGAGAATATTGTAGAATGATCCTTTTGACCGTTCGATCATTGATGTACTAGGGTATGGACAAAGCTATGTATCTCACGAGTGCCTACACATTTTATCAATTGGATTCCCATTAAAAGACGATTCAAAAAGGTTACAGAACGGTGCATAACAGGTCACCGGTGACGGAACATCAGTAGCTTAAACATATCGTGGTCATTTCCGAGTCAACTCTTGGTTACCTGTAGTTCAGTCTACTTTAATAAAGAGGTTTTGTTGAAATCACTAGATACTAACAGACGTTTCCAGTTATTTACATTTATGCCCCATATATATATATGTATATATATATATATATATATATATGTACACTTACTTGAATATCATGATTCAAACAGAAGAAATACATAAGGGAAAATGGATTAGGTTTAGCTTTTGCCTTAGGTCCTAATGTGAAATTCAGACTGATTTCAAAATTGTGCGTTCATAGCTTTTTAACTCACGCCTTATTTACACGATGAATTTATCACTTGATCAAATCAAATCTTCCATTCCTCTTTCATATAACGAAATAACTGGCTTAAATATTCCAGTGAGCTCTTTTTCTTGTCTGATTTTGTCTAAACCTCTTCTGCGGATCGGAATCTCTAGTGAATCAGAAACCTCAAACGTGTCTATCACTGTTCATCCATCCCTCCAGTTAGCAATAGTCCGAATATACCACTATTGCCCATTGTAATTACAATTAATTACAATGAGTTAGTCAATAGTCAATCGGCAATTTTAGCCCTTACTCAGATTTAACTTTTTTATGGTAACTTGTTTCAAAATTTGAAACACCTTCATTCCCTGTCCTCCCCGAAAGGAAGGTTTATCCATTTTTATTCTATCAATTCTTCTTTATTCTATCTATTCTATCTGTAATCTAGTTTTGTGTTTTCTTTCCTTCCTAGCTATCTTTTGTGGTTAAGTGTCATGTGGCCATCGGTTCGCGCTTGTAAAATAGCTTTTCTATAAGATACTTTCGGAAAATAAGCACCCATTGCACTTATCACCAATATCTTCAGTTAGAAAGAAATGCGTGAAGTAACTACTTTTATCCTAATGTTGGGGAACTAAGCAAGTTGCGTTGTGGTAGCACATACATGCTCCCTTCGCAGGTGTTCTGGTTCTTCTCAGTTGCCATTTGATCATTTTGTACTTGATAATAATTGCTAACAAAGTCATCACAAACGTTTGAGCAAAACCTCTTCAGTGGTTTTCTTGTTTAAAAGTCCAATAAATCTACCACCTTCCGCATTTTTGTACTTGAATGTTGCATTTTACTAGAGCATTATCGTGAATTCAAACTGAATGACAGAAGGTTTATAGCATTGAAACTATAATTTATTCAAAATAATGATAGTCATAAACAAAAAAATTTACATTCGAACTGAAAACCAACATTAGATTTGTGTATTTTTATATGTATTCATGTGCCTATGTGTTTTGTCAAGGCATGTATAAAAGTATGTCATAGCAATCGGCATATAAACATATAGGTATGTATGCCTGAATTGCAAGGAAGTGATTTAATCGAACCATTTATATATCACATGCATGGGCTCATTACCTTCCCTACCCGACCATTCGAATTCTTACAAAGCTGTGAGGCAAAGGAAGAAAGCCTCAGGTGGCATAGTGCCAGACATGCAGGTCTTCTGGGACACAAGAGCTATGCAAGCCTAGAAACAAGCCTGAGGTAATTGGGCAACAATAGCAGCTTGTGGTAATCAAAAGGCTCCACGGAACCCAGAACCTTAAAGGCATTAGCAACCCGCCTGATGATCACCTGGTATGCGTTGTTCTGTGTGTTATTTGATTTTTACTAATTTTACTAGAGCCTTGTCTCCATCTCTACCCTTCACAGCTAGACTTAGCTTAAACTGTTTTCGCTTTTCTGTTTATCTCTTCTATGAACAGGCTTGTATTTGCTCCTACTGGATTCCGTTGAAGAAAAATCCCCTATGTTTTAGTAAGAAATTCATAACCTGTTAAAGCCCATTGAGAATGTTGTCACTCGATTGCGTGAGAAAATGAACTCTCATTGAAACCATCCCCTAGTCCTATGATCTAACCTAACCTGACCTGAACTAACCTGACAGTCTACAAACAGTAGTTAATCCCGAGCCAAAAGCTACCGAGGGAATTTCGATTTTCAACTTGTATAATGTGACTCATACAAGAGATCTTCGCGGCTTTTCAATTTAGAAAAATGTACTACAAAATAAAATTTGAACTCCTGATGAACTTTCTGATGTTCTTTGCAATATTTTGAATAATGTTGTGCAAATTCGTGACAGTTATTATAACAATATTTCAATTCAGCTAAACACATTATGAACCTACGGGAAAACAGAGTCACCGAATATACGGAGAGATGGATCAATTTTTCTCTGTTCTTTTCCTATATACAGCACACAAACTTGCTAACTAAAAAAAATAGTACATCCTCGGGTTTTAAGAATGATTCTTTGCTTAAGTAGACCAGAATGTAAACAGGTATCCATAAAAAGCATTAATTGTCAACAAGCTAAAACATTTCGGAGCAAATCTGTTATCTTATATATTTGTCATAGACTTCAGTGTTATAGTTTCTAATATTAAGGACTAAAGACCGAATGGCTGAAAGCCAAAGACGCTTGTTGATAACACAGAAATCTAGAGGCTTTATTTAGGTAGACAATAAATCACCAGCCTGGCTCTCCTTCGGAAACGTGCTGTTTAAATCAATTGTACACTCCAATAAGCCGCCGGAGATCCGAGCATTAGCTAAGGCAAACAGCTTCAATTCAACCAGTAAAATCTGTGGTTCTCTGAGTGAGATAACTTCCGGCGCATTCACTGCTTCACATTCGTCTTCTTCATTGCGGTGCTTGGCTTGATTCGAAACGAGGTGATTTCTTTTTCAAAAAGACGTTCATCAATAGACATATAGTGAGTAAAGTTTTCAATCAGATCGCAATTATCTTCTGGTGGCCGCATCAGAGGTTGATTAAATGTGGGTTTGAACCCAGCTTTTATGAAAGCGTCGATCAGCACGTGCGAATGCACTGACACCCAAGCTTTCTTGATCAAATGCATGCCTATGAGAATATCCACTTCGGATTTCATGCTAATTTGCTCATCTTTGATCAAAGACAAAACGTATTTCAGTAAATTATTGCGAAACGAATATTTGAAAGACCAAATAACATTCTGATCCACTGGTTGTAACATTGAAGAACTGTTTGGAGGCAACCGTACTGATTTGAACACCGCGGCTATGTTATGGCAAGGGGCGTTATCTATAAATAATAAAACAGAGCGTCTTTGAAAAACCATCTTACGGTTGACACCGGACAGCCAACTATGAAATAACGCAGAAATCATTCATGCGTTATTTGAAGAAGAATGACTTCACTGAAAGCTTTTTCTATTTATGCCTCGGTGATATCGTGGATTTTGAAATATTTCAATAAACAACGGTGTTAGCCTTTCTCCAGTTATGCTCCCACAAAGCAGTAACGTGACCCTTTCTTTGGATTTCTTGGATCCAGGAACTGCTTTTCCTTTGAGACTTGATGTTCTTTCTGGGAGCTGCTTGTAATACAAGGCTGTTTTATTTGAATTGAGAATATCACAGTCAGCGTGTCCATAGATCAACTGCAGTAACCGCGCTCGAAACTCATCCACTACATCCGGTGGTACTGTCAAGCTTTCACCCCAAAGTCAAAGTCAAAATTTCATAGGGTGTTTGTGCGAATTGAATTGTAACAATAATGAATAAAATTCCATATGCTCTATTCGGTTGTGTTATGTGTGCTTATGGATGTTGGAATGTAATGTGTGTTATTGATTCGTCAAGTTTTACCTTGTAAGAATCAACCATCGTAGCACAAACGACATGAGGTGGTAAGGAATTCCAGGCAGTGCACACTCTGACGGTGAACGCATGACGTCGGCAGTCCAGTCGACATTTTTGGAGTACCAACTTGAATGGATATCCCCGTAGATAAACGTTTGATGACAACGTCAGAAGTCGGCGACAAGGGTGGTTTGGGTTGTGTAATATTTGGTACACCAAAATCAAGTCTCCTCGAATCCGGCGATACTGAACAGAGTATAGATCTAACGACTGCATTCTCCCCATGTATGAATCATGATAGAGTCCTTTGACCATCTTCGTGGCGAGCCTTTGTGGACGTTCCAAAATCTTGTGATCACATCGTAACCAGGGGTTCCAAGTTTGGATGGCATACTCAATATGCGGCCGGATGTATGCTGACAACAGACGTGAGAATAACGATGGTTCAAAACGACCGAAAACACGTTTAAGTAGACCGACATATTTGAGTGCGGTTGATGGCGCCCTGGTGCAGTTATCAGAACAGCTCAGGTCTTCGTGGACTATAACACCCAAGTCCTTTTCTGTTGATGCATGAGGCAGTAGTTCGTTTCCGAGGAAATAAGGAAACCGCTCATGGTGGCGTAACGAAATCACCTTGCATTCGGAGACGTTAAGTTGGATGTCGTTCTCAGTGGACCATTTGTGAGCTGCATTCAGTGTTTCTTGGAGTTCCAGCGAACCCCAATTTCTGTCACTATCTTGCGAATTTTGAAGTCGTCTGCAAACAATAATGATTTTGGTCTTAAGACATTCGGTAGGTCGTTTATGAACAAGAGAAAAAGTCTTGGACCAAGCACAGAACCCTGGGGGACTTCGCGGGAAACGGCGATGGGGGCGGACAGTGAATTAGAGACTCGAACCGACATAGTCCTTTTTTGGAGAAACGCAGCGATCCAATCAAGCACGCGACCTCTGACACCAAAATTGTACAGCTTACGAAGCAGTATTTCGTGGTTCACCCGATCAAACGCTTTGGAGAAGTCCAGGTAAACCACATCAACTGGATCGCCTTTATCTACTGCCTTTGTCCATTCATCGCGGACCAGGAGCAGATTGGTGGTACATGATCTCTTTTGACGGAATCCGCGCTGTGCTGGGGAAACTAGGTCGTATTTCTCTAAGTGTTCCATCAAGAAATCCGCCACGATGGATTCCATGATTTTGGATAGAACGGGTAGGAGTGTCACCGGGCGGTAGTTGGCAGGATCAGTGCGACGGCCGCCTTTGTAAATTGGAGAAATTATGCCCTGTTTTCACGACTGAGGCAGCACGGTTGCGTCAAACAGCCTTTGAACAGAAAAGCTAGCGGCTCAGATATGTAGTCCGCTAATGCAATAAGCGGTTGGGGATGTAGGTTGTCTGCACCTGGAGCTGAATACTTACGTAGACTCAGAAACTTTGATTTCACTCTGTCGGCATCAAACGTGAGGATAGTCAGTGGTGGATTTGGAAGAAAGAGTATTCGACGAGGCAACGCAGTCTCACGTTGTAAGGTGTGTCAAAGACTTGGACGTATTGGTTTTTCAGCATCTCAGCTGCTTCCTGAGTGTTGCTGGCGACCTTCCCCAGACAGCTGAGTGCGGGTATCCCGTACTTTAGCTTCCTCGAAATATTGACATGTTTGTATAGTAATGATGGATTGGAGATGGACTTCCGTGAGAGCACTTCTTGGTACCTCAGCTTATCCTCGCGCACCAACTGGGTACAATGGTTTCGCAGTAGTCGATATTTATTCCAGGTGCTGTCAGTTGGAAATCGGTTGTATTCTCGCCAAGATCGATTGCGCAGAGACACACACTTCTTAGTGCGGCTACGAATCGGCGAGTTTTGGACCCCTGATTTTCTAACTAACTTAGTAACTGAGGCGATCAGGTTTGTAAGTCTGTGTGTAAATGCATGCCAGGTGACCACTGGGTCACCTTCATCCCCAGGAAAGATCCACTGAGTACAGTGAGCCAAATTCTGCAATCTAGTATAGTCCGTGGCGAGACGTGTATTATTTTGCGGACTTCTTTCTATCGAAGCGTAGCAGACATATTTGAACAACAATACTGCATGGTCACTGCGTCCTAAGGGGGGTGAGACCGATGGATTCGACCATAAGTTCTTCGTTCGTTAGTACCAGATCCATCGACGATGTCGCCAGGTTGCGAAACCTTGTGGGCTCCTTCATGTGGTTGTACAACGGATGCGAGTCGATTAACTGTTTAAATTGACTTTGGAACGATAGATGGGAGGTCAGAGTTTGATCGAGATGCGGGCAGTTGAAATCACCCACTATCAGAATATGGCTAAATTTTGCAGATAGGACTTGTAACATAGCTCGCACAAATGTATCGTTTGCTGACTCCGTGGACGAGGGAGAATGATAGACCACTCCAACAAGACAATCGTCATGCTTAGACAGTTTCAGTTTACACCAAATTGTATCGGGGGCTGATACAGGAGGATCAACTGCATCGCACTGGAGATCGTTTTGATGGTAAAGTAGAACACCACCCCCGCGTGTTGGATGATCGCGTCTGAGAAGAGACATGCCCGGTAGGCACAACTCAGAGTCGAGAATGTCATTCGTCAACCAAGTTTCTGTGACAGCAATGATATCCCACTGACTGGACTGGAAACGCAACACCAGTTCCGAGAACTTACTGCGGAGACCTTGGGCATTAGTGTAGCAAAAGCTCAAATGTGTTTGGTGTGGAAGTCCCTTTGGGTGAGAAGTAGATTCATTGCTGACCCTGTTACGGTCGGCTAACATTGGTTTTTTTGGGGAGGGAGCCCTGGTACTCTGATCACCCAATTGTGGAGGGGAGCATGAAGCCGGAATCGATTGTGAATTAGCATCGTTATCACACAGTGGAACTTCCGATAATGCAGTCTTCATCAAGGGTCTCAGGTGCAGTTCCGGTGGTCCCTTCCTCTTGTTCAGTTTCCAAGATTAAACTAATGTGGTTGCCATTTCTGGTGTGCTGAGGGTGACTTTCATTATCTTCAGGCCATTACCGCGGTAGTTTGGTGAAAAGGTAAGACGACTGATTGATGTGGTAAAAACAGCTTGGCAGTTTATCAGGTCTTTTATAAAACACCACTCCTTATAGTCGTTGTAAAAGCATTTGCACTCATCGGGATCAGTTGGTTGTGGGATCCCATGAATGAGAACAACCCTTTTGTTATCTTCCTCCCGTGCACCCTCTGAGTTGTTCCGGTGTTGCGCGCGCTCCGCCCATGGTCTATCAGAGAAGATTTGTGTGGTGCTGGAGCTGTTTCTCAAGAGATAACTCGAAAGAAGTACGTTCTCAACGTCCGTTTTACTCTTCAGTGTAACGCGTACTAACCTAGGTTCTCTTACATGTGACGAATTTGGCTGGCGCACAAGCCGTGTGAGGCTCACAGATTGGACATCAATTCCCATTAGAGTACACAAACCTTTCCAATGACCAAGATCTTCTTCTTGCCTTCCCCTCAGTGTTTGGGTTGTCGGCTCTGGTAAAGTCGTGCAGATGACTGTTGAGATGGTGTTCCTAAAGCCTTTCTTGCAACCTACCAACCAACCTAGGAAGTAATGCACATGAGAAGTTGCTTGTCTGTTTCTCTGTAGGACTGAATAATACATCTGTCTAACCCAGAGCGAAAGCAACTGGAAGTCACGTTGATGCATTCTTCACATTAGCTAGATTACTTTCTTGCAAATGTTGCTCTCTATCATGCGGAACTCGTCGGGCTTTTTACTCATACCAGTAAACCAAGCCGAGGTTGTCTCATTCACTGTCTTGAAATGTTTGTTGGTTTTCAGATGGCATCTTTCCTGAGATTCTCCATCGTTCACAGTTTATCTGATAGTGGTTCGATGGGATATAACACTGTAAACCGCTTCTCTTGGCTTTAGAGCTCTGAGTTGCACTTGGCTGATTCAACTTGGCAAACATGTTCTGATTGATAGGCTATCGAACCTTTTGAAGTCAAGTGACACTGTCTTCCATTGTTGTCATCAGTATGTCTTGCTCGCAATGATTATCCAATCAGTGAACAGTGTCATGTTCGCGTCACACTAGATGGAACGCCATTGGTTGAGTGCGACATTTCAGTTTGTTTGGTCAATGGCGGTCCTGAACATGGGTCAACGACCAAGTGAGTAGGCATCAGTAGTTGCGATATATTGACGGGGCACCATTGCATGATCAGAAACTACGTTATTACACCTACGGTTGGTTTGGGTTTTCGAATAAGTGGGAAGATATTGGAAAATGCGACTTCTCAGGGACGCAACATGGTAGAAGATTGGCTGTAATGCCTTTTATCGCGCACCACTAAAAGCAAGTGACTGAAAAGAAAATGTAAATATGAAAATGGTTTCAGTATGACGACATAAAGCACAGGCTGCATTCATAATACTGTCTCCCAAAGAGGATTCTAACAGACAACCTCTTTTTTCAGATGGTGAGTGTTTGGATTATCCCATTCGGTTTTTCACAGGGACCAGACATTGTTGATGATGTTCGGTGTGAGTTTCATTGCTTGCGAGATCGTTAACTCTTTATTCCCTTCTTAAATTTTTTATTCAAAACAAAGTTTACCTATCAATCATGCTCCGGGTTTTGTTGTCCGTCCATTTTCCACCAAAGCCCCTCACCCGATCAAAATACGCGTCTGCGGAATGGCTCAAAAAACCAATCAGCGAGTGGATTGATGTCTCTTATGTGTGCTCCAGTCGAGCGGACGAAATAATTCCCAAACCCATCAGGTCAAAACGACAAACGGACCAACTGAAACCGGCCTATTTGATGAGAGCCACGGAGTTTCTCAACTTACCGGATATATTACAAGTAAGCGTTCGAAAAGCTGTGATCCGGCTGGTCGGCATACTTTGTGTGTGTGTGTGTGTGTGTGTGTGTGTGTGTGTGTGTGTGTGTGTGTGTGAAGCCGTGTAAGGTAATCAGCCAACAATCTGTCGGTCAGGTAAAGCAATTCGAAGCTTAGTGCTTCTGTGTGTAGACATCATTGAGAACACAGTACTGTTCGTACCACAGGGCTGACGCTTTCGTTTCATGTATTTGCTCATATAAGATATTTATCAACATGAAGATCCAGGTAAGTTGCAAGATTTTCTGGATAACTTGAGTGCCAGTGTAGCCCCATGTTCGGTATGTGTTTCGCACCTTCAGTGTAAAATGTTGTTGTGTTGCTGATCCAGCCCACAACCTCGCCCTGACTGGGGAATTAGTAGAGTAAGTAGACAAATTTTGCTATCTGGACAGCCATATCCCGCCTGGTGGATGCATCAAAGATGAAGTGCCGGCGCGCATACAAAAGCTTCGCTTGGCACTTGCCAAATTGAGACATCTGTAGAGCCGCCGCGGCATCCGACTGTCTGTGAATGGTGGAGTATGTACTGCATCAGTTCAGCCAGTTCTGATCTACGGTCAGAGACGGGAAGATGATAAAAATAGACTTTCGGTGTTCGAACACCGCTGTCTACGTCGCACTGTACGAGTCGGGTGGGGCAACCGGACGAGCAATGCTGTGGTTAGGTGTAGAGTTTTAGGTAATCGCAGTCGTCCACTGGATAAAGTAGTCAACCTCCATAGATTACGCTGTTTGGGACATGTGTTACGCGTGTTACGGCGAGCGATGTTTGCCGAATCAGGGCATGGTTGGAAAAAGATCAAGGGTGGTTAAACTGCGACCTGGCATGAGGGTATGAAAACCCTAACCAGGAGACTGGGTCACATAGGTCCCGTTACGCACCCTGGCTGGGGACCCCGAAATAAAGGTCACCGATAGTTAGAGACACTGAGCGATATGGTTGCGTGTCACAAACAGTGGCGCTCATGCATCTACTCAGTATTCTCTTAACACCAATCTATCTGCTTCCATTTGCCTTCAACATTCCAATATTCAGCCTTATCTTTTATCCAAATGGGCGGCCAAAAGACAGTAACCAAAAACGGTGCACGAAAGTGCATGGTTAATGGTTGTAAAAACTGAACTGAACTGATCAATGTCATAAATTTTCTTGGCAAAATCAAATCAAATCAGATCACAGATTACTAGGAACGATTTCATTGTGAGACCGGAAACCGGATTCACGACGATCACATGCTTGTTTTTCCACTCATCTGATCATCGAGATTACTCGTGATGTGGTATGTGTGGAACGCTTAAGGGCCTCCACAAATTGTTTTCGGCACAATAAATTTCCATTTCTAGATGTATACATCGCCCGTCGGTCAGATAGTTCGGTGCAGCCTTCCATGCTTAGAAAGCCAACTTGGAAAGATCACTTTATCCATTAGCGAAGCTAAGTGATGCTTGAGATATAAAGGAACACAGTTTAGTTTCTAGTGAACAGATTTAGAAAGGTCTGTAGTGAGGACACGCTAGAAGATGAAGAGCTTTATGTTATAAGATCGAACTGTGCACGTAACGGGTGTCCGGAATGTTCAGTGATCAAAATGATTCACTGTACGGAGAAATAATTACAAAAGACCGAGGTTAGGAAAAACCGTGTACATTTATTTGCCTTTCAAATGGGAAATACCAGATCATACAAAGAAGATTAGCTGACGTAATCGATAATAATTTCTATACGTCCAGAAATCGTGTGTCGTTCATATCATAGCCTTTCGTGTTTGCGATTGAAAGACAAAGTTCTTAACTCTGCGGTCTCATTCTGTGACCATTCATTTTTTTCCTGTGGAACAACGTACATAGACCGCACGGTCAGGCGATTTTCCGAACGAATTCGTGAACAACACTCTGCGTGAATGAACACCGCAAAAATTAAGTCATTCACCAGTGTAGTGGTTTGAAATCTAGCTAAAACAAATCACACTGTAGAAATGTCCTATATAAAGTTCGTGGATGATTATAGAAACAGGTTCCCATCAGAATATATTCACAGCAAAAACGAGGGGAAGTCGTTTGCACAACCCCCTCTGGGTGCCCAAAAACAATTTGTCTAAGCGCTAAAGCTAAAGTCGGAAAGATACGATCAGCGAAATAAACCGGAACCTTATGTCTATTGTACTGAGGGGAGCTGAACCGATCCGGTGCGAGAGGAGTGTGGGTTGGATCGCAACGAAGTAGAAGGGTGGCACAAGCACAAAATCTATTGGACACACACTCATACACACACACACAGAAAAATGATTCATGTGGTTTGAGACTTCTGAAGATATGGATTCAAGGATGAGGCTGGGATTGACGGTTACCACTTCATCTTGATAATTAATGGTTGACATTTTATTTCATGGCAATGAATTTCTCTTGACAAAGCCGTGCATCAATTTGTTAGTTGGTTACGTTCGACAGGACACTGGCTTTAGTGAGTGTTCCAATCAGTCATTGGTTTTTATCTATCTATCCAATGTAACCAGCGATCGCTGTCCTCGTGTTTAAAAAAAATTTGATCTTAAACAATCTAGTGTGTGCATTGACAATCATAAATGCGAGTTGAACCGATGAGTATGCTCCGCTTTCTGTTTTCACATTGTCCTGATCGTAAGTGCGCGATAATCACACCTACGATAATCGATTAAGCCATACTGGTGTGATAGAACGGTTGTTTATGCAGGATACATATTTGCACTTTAAAAATCCCTGTTTTAGGCTATCATTACGAGGATCTAATTCAATGGATTTCCGAGTATATTGCATACTTTATCTAACACCTGACTGTAAGCGTCTATGGACCTTTGTGGTAAGATAGCTGCAGCTCGGAAATCACACAAGCATTGCAGCTTTCTTTGGATGCAGCCGGTCCGTGATATTACCGCGAAATATTGATTTCGACTATTGCTTCAGATCGACTCTGGCTCAAATCCTTCTCCTACATATTTTAAAATGTTAAAAACTTCAGTCAGAATTTGCTCGTTCACAAGTTGC